ACGGAGAGCTTTGGTTGGGTGAAGATCTTTTTAACTTAGTATGTCTCATTTTAGTTAACACACTCTACACTGAACTTTACCAAAATGGCTGCTGCTGAGAGACAAAACAAACTCTGAATACTTCAGTGCAACTAACGTAATTACTAAAACAAAGAGGCCAAGGGGTCTCAGAAATCTTGTAACTAATATCAGTTTCAGTTTAAAGAACATGGATGATTACACTTACATATTACCAGTGGTGGACAGTAACGAAGTACTTGAGCACATGGTTCCGGGAATTTACAATAATGAATCAAGCCCAGGCGGCTCCAGGAAGTTATTAACCATAGGTGTTGAAAAAGTTTTAAAAAATCATGCAAAAAAAAGGATAAAATTTCACATTCCGGGAGAGCAACTGAAGATACATCTCACACGCTGACGGTCCACAGCACCCCCCATGGGTTTTGTCCTAGTACTCCGATTTCCTCCCACAGACCAAAAAACATGCATGTTAGGCTGATTGGTAACTCTAAATTGTCTCTAGGTGTGAGTGAGGGAGTGAATGGTCGTTTGTCTCTATGTGTCCCTGTGATGGACTGGAGACCTGTCCAGGGTGTCCCCTGCCCCTTGCACAGTGATTGCTGGACAAGGGCACTGGCGACCCCCGTGACCCAAAATGGAAGAAGCGGGTAAAAGATAATGGCTGGATATTTAGCAAGGTTGAGCTTAGGGTAGACCAGCATCTATGATGGAAACTGTGACAAAGTCAGATGGAAATGAGCATCTCGTTTTGCTGTTGTCTCCTAAAGTGATTACATCTTGCTGACCCAGTTTCCCGTGAGTCTCTGTGAGCAAATGTTTGTCTTTCTGTGGCTGAAGTTTGAACAAGACAGAACAGGTGCCACAATGTACACTTTCAGCTTGTGTCTACACTCACAAATATGCTCTATGGTGCAGCAACACATGCACAACCTTTTTCTTTTTTATTTTAAGACAATGCATTTGACATACCCGCTTCAGGATCATAAGGGTAATCAGAACTATGGGAGGCTAACTGTGTAAGAGGTGGGCTATACTCGATGCAAATCAGCATAAGGAAGAAAACCTGCAGCCAGGTTAGAATAACAAATTACCCTGACATGAACGTCTTTAGACTGTTGGAGCAAACCAGATCATCAGGCACAGACAGAACATACAAAGTCCTCGCAGTAACTCGTTCTCAGGTTTGAGACCAAAGTCTTTCCTGCTGTGAAGTGACAGAGCAAGTCACTGAACCATTGTGAGAATCTTTTTTTTTTTTCATGGGGGTCTTTTAGTATCAGCCCAGCCCTGATCTGGCTCTGTGTGAAACTGAGGGAGCTGTCTACACATTCTGACCCAAGGAAAAATCTCATTACAGATTAGAAGGCATAGTTCATCTCTGTGTGCAGAGATAATGTCCAAGCAGCAAAAAAAAAAAAGACTGTTCTCATGAGTACAACTCTATTCCTTTGCCCCCTTTTATTTTTTTAACAAATTGTACTTTTTTTTAACATCTTATTGCTAACATCGATGTGTGGGTGTGTTTTGAAAATCGTCTGTGTTCGAAAACAATTCCAGCTTTGCCTTTCCGATGTAAAAACATGTAAAAGACAGACACACACCTTCCCAGACAGCTTGGTTTTCTTTTATTGACGTGCCCTTCTGGGAAGATCAGTCACATTTGCCAGACCCTACGTAAGCACACCAACAAAATGCTGACAGCGGTCTCCATGGAAACGTCACGGAAACGCTTCAGCTCCCCTCTCTTTCTGCCCCGTCACGGATAAATGTCTCATAGCAGCAGATTCCATTTATAGCAAGTTCACAATTGAGGATGGCACTGCTGTGACAACCGAAATCAAGAAACAACCCCTGACTATATGTGGACTTTTTGAGCTGTGAGTCGGGTCATGAAGAGAACAGGAGAAAACGGCTGGCCAACAGAACGGGGCAAAGGTTAAAGAAACCTGCAAAAAGTGACAGAATAATAAAACCATTAACGTTTATGCTCAATAATCCAGGTAAAAAAAATCCAACAATGGTCAGTCAGGTCATCTGGACAGTTTCTTTTTCTGGACGTAAACCATCTTATCACCAGTAAACTGGTTGGTCCACTGTAGGAATGTACTGCTTAGTAGGGGAAACAGTTTGTTTGAGACTCCTCAGACTGATGAAGCCCTTCGGATGGAGGGTGAAACATCTCTCCAAAAAAAATAAATAAATAAATAAACGGTCCAGATGACCTGACTGACAATTGTTGGAATAAAAGCATCAGTTTAGTTTATGTTGTATTATATCTGCATAAATGGTGTTACACAAACAATATACTAGAAGGTCATTCATGGTGTAAAATGCTAACCATTATCTTAATCACATCCCAGTTCAATGCTGGAGTCAACTTTAAAACAATCTTGCACCAACAGCAGCAAGAATGTCCAAAAGTCATTGATTTTATCTTTTCTACAAATACAAAACTCTAAATGTGTCAAGTATATTTTATATTCTTTCACCAGACAGATGGCTATAGACTAGTGTGTCCCATTAATTTTTACATATTCATTCTGATAATAAAGGGGAAAGATAAAATGGTCTGTGATTATCTCATTTTTATCAAGAGTTCTGAATTATTGTAACAAATTGATGTAAGAAAGAAAGGAGGACAGGGTGTTAGTGCTCCTTGGAGCCAAAAGTCTTTAAAAGTAAGTTTGGCGTTGAGCCTGCTTTTCAGTAAATCCCTGTCAGTTCCTGCTTACGGTGTAAAACTGATGCCAGGAAGGACACAGCTTCATGCTGTTTATGAAACTCCATCTTAAAGTTTTACAGCTACTTCGGGTCTTGCAAAAAAAAAGTCAACAAATTTTACTTCCTTTGAGAGAATGCCTTTTTCCATCTTGTGTAAACATGTGGGCCGCTAACTGCAGGAAGGGTCAACATTTAGACTTTCATCTGTGACACAATGTGCCTTTGCAGATGGAGACCACAGTGATGTCTGTCTGTCAGCCGGCGGCAAAATGAATGATTCCTGGTCACACCACTGCTCCTCTGCCTGCAGCTCGATGATTTCTGCACAGCTAAATGTCACATCAATATTCACAGGCTGCTAATTAATCTCCGCTTCCATGGAACCGGCTGACATCTCCTATCCTGTTGGCATACAGATGGCACTGTAGCTGGACTCTTGCTCTGAAGGCAAGCTGGGAGCGCTCAAAGGGTAAGGTTCAAATTGCATGCAGTCTGAAACATCTCCCCCTTTCTATCGCTTTACTGAGCCCAAAGCAAAGACTGCACAATAACATTTTTGCTCATGTCTGTGTGTTTTTTTGCACCATTAGTAAAATACCTCATGAAGCACACATTTTAATTAAACTCCCAGAAAGTAATCACTGGATGGGCATCTGCAACCGTTGAATTTCTGGAGTCAAACCAATTTAAGATGGCTGCTACAGCTTAGTGAACACAAAAATGGCTAAAATGATCATTTTTACAACCCATATTAGGCTAAAATTAGGTGTGTTAGTAGCTGAAACTGATTGACAATTTATTATTTACTATTTATTATTTATTAAACAGGTCTCTCTTGAAAATGACTCAATGAGATTAACATGTATAATAAAGGTTGAATGCAAAATTATATGAGCACTAAATAATTGCACAAGATCTTAAACTCTGTCAGCAAAATATCTCATGAACCACTGAATTAATTTTCTTTCTTTCGTGTCTTTTTGTTGATTATTACCTGCATGTTGACAAATATGGTACAAAACCATGCATAGCAATCAAATTTTAACATAGTTTAACCCACAAACAAATCCCCAGACAGCAGGCACACCCACACACAACTAAACTGAAGTAAAATAAATAACATTTGCGGAAGGTAGAAAAAAGATATACAATTAAATAATGCCATCATTGAATGAATTTTAATGGGACGTTCAGAAATTAATCACTGGGTGTACGTCTGAAAGGATTCAACTTAATTCAAGATGACAGCTTTAGTCAATTGACTTCTGAAAATAAAACTGCCCTCATCCAATTTCACAGATACTGAACTAAAATCTGGTGTGGTAGTAGCTGACAGTCATACAACACATACTCAAAGCACTAACAGATCATACAAGCTCCAAAATGGCTCTACCTGTCATTTCTCAGCATAAAATGATCTCCGTCTAAAACCAGGCATGAAAGGAAGTGATGCATTTCTTCAAGAGACGCTAGGTCTTTTATTTAGATTATGTATTTGCAGTCACAATATACTTTAATAACAGATTGAAAGGAAAACTTTTTTCTTTTCCACAGGATGGAAATTTGTTCACAGGCTTGTCCGCTGAAGAATTTGGGTCTCATGTTTTCTGAGCTGTGTGTTGGTGGTGAGTGATCACTGTAGTGTTGATTGTAGTGGGAAGAGGTGAGTGTGTGCTTAAGAACAAACAAGGTCAAACTATTTCTTTTTCCTCACCGTTGCAATATAGTTGAGCTCTAACAAAAATGAAAAATATATTGCAGTCAGGTCAGGACCAAGTTCCTACACAATCCAAATAACCACAGTTCATATGCTTGATCTGTCATTGCTGCCGAGCTGCACATGAAAACGAGTCCATTAAACACAACACAGAGCCATGAATCACTCCCTGTCTGAAAATTGAAATAGATTATTAGGTCTGGTATCATGAGAGTTTGGATTTTCCTCATATAGTGTTTAATAAATGCTTCTGAAAAGGTTTTCTTGACAAAAAATGTCTTGCCATTCAATTCATGACATTTACAAGATCATAACCATTTAGACTCCTGGAGAGTCAGATTTCTCTTGTAGTAAAAGCTTGTTGCTAAGCAATACTAAACAGAGTCAGAAGCAAAGATTTGCAAATATAGATTTAGTGAATTTGCTGTAAAAAAAAAAAAAAAAATCTATATAGAAAACCTGGGACCTGTGTATTTCAAGTGGAATGACTCTGCTTGTGGGTGAACTATTACATAAGTCTGCAGCCCAGCTGAGTGCTTACCTGTCCTACGTAGACCAGCAGTCTGGCGTTGAGAGGACTCTCATCAGGGCTCAACCAGAACTCAGAGTTATCATCCGATGACACTGAGAACTGGAAATCACCTGCATGGGAAGAACAAACGAGACAATCATTCATGCTCTCACTCACATCTAGAGACAATTTAGAGGTAATAAAAAAGGCAAAGCATTAAGTAAAACAGAATTGTAGGTGCTCAAAATGCAACAAAATATGCAAAACTGTCTCATGCAGTGGTCAGAGATGACTCATCATTATAGATATGAACTTTTACTGTAACGCAAAGCCCTGACAGCTGTCAAAATAAGTGATGTTTCATTGTTTTTGCTTAGAAGTTTTATGTTTTTAACACATCTACATCATTTAATAACTGTTTCAAGGTTCACGTAGTTCCAACTCATAAGAGTTTTTATAAAAATTGAGCAATTATATCCCTTGTCTTTGTTCACAACTAAATTTTGGGGCCGATAGTATTCGTCATTGTTCAAATGTAAACAAACGACTCATAATTACATGATTCTGCTGAGTTTGTGCATTTATTACAAATTATGCAGTAAGCTTTTGGTAGTGAATGATGCATGTTGAATGTTTTATTTATCATAGATTATGAACACATACAAAAAAATTGTATATTCTGAAGTCTTTGTTTAAACGTGGGGTCTTTAGGATTGTGAACAAGCTGGAAATTTAATGGGCAAATTCTAATTTTAGGCTAGATTACTTTCTGGCATGACTATTAAAAATGATTTTTGTTATATAAAAAATGACAGTTCAGTGGTAAATATAGTGCAGCTACATAGACTAAAAGGCTCTGAATGAAGAATTCTACAGGGAGGCAGATTCCAAAAGAAACTGTATTTATTGACAAATTGTTAAAATTAACAGGTCAAATTATTGGGTAGTTCCAGGATGATCTCAATAAATTCTTCAGAAATATAGAAAAACATAAAAAAGGGCACAAAAGAATACTGTGAAAAATGTTGCAACATTAACTAAATATCTATTTCTTCCTCTGCTGTTGTTTGAAAGCATTATCCAAAGTCATGCATTAACATTACTACCCACCGTGCATTAAAGGAGGCTGTGCTCCTTAATTATCACCATAGTGAAGATTTATATTAAAATCTCATCTGTAAAAGTTAATTGCGCCAACATTGCTAAACTGTTTTTGAACTGAAATCAGTGCTTCCCCCTAATTTATGGTTAGACACGGCTGCAGTGCAGTTATAAAAGTGGCTTACAAATATGTAGATTTTTGTACACAAAGGAAATATTACAGAATATCAATAAAAATTAAAAAACAGACAAATTGCTTTGTAATCCAAGCAGATTTGCAATTACAGTATTACAGAATACTTGACAGACGTACAGTATGTTTAACTCTCTTGGCAATTCATACCTGTTTGGATCTACTCACTCATATTTTACAAGTACTTATGTCTGGCAGAATAAAGGTGAAGGGCACTTGTTAGAGCTCACACTGAGCCACCGAGGATGGTGTGACCTTTACACCATCAGCTCCACAGAGCCATGTCACTAGTGAAAGCTATAAGAGTCTAAAATGAATGGTAACCTAATTATTAGCTTCAATTCTGCAATTTGTGTAAGGGCACTTAAACATTAAGGCTTTTTCAGTTCCCATGGCAACTGGGTTCCAGGGCAGGGCCATGAGAGGACAGAAATTAGATTTAGCTGTGAGATTCTGGCACTGAGTTTCAATAAAAAATAAAGGAAAGAAAATGTGAAAATCCACTACATTAGTGGCTCAAAGGCGCTTGGATTAGAAGAGCTGTGGAAATCGCCCATTCTGATAAAGGACACATGCTTCAAGGTCCTCAGCGTCAAATCAGGGACTGAAAAATGAAATGAACTAGTTACCATCTCTGTAGGAATGAAGGTAACCAAATATTCTCAAGCCATAGTTCTTCCACTTTGGAGCCACTGCAAGCTTCTTCACTGTCGTTCTTGTCTAAAAAAATTTAAGAAATTACAAATATTAAAAATATATATATATAATTCACTCCACACCCTAAAATGTGAACAGCCTGAGGTGGTACTCATGCTTCATCAATTATTATTGAGACTTTTGTTCCAGGAAAAGGACAGGACAGGAAAAGATGCAAACAGCTATTTCAAATCTTATTTTCAAAAACATGTACATGAAAATTGAAATTGTACATAAACCGTCTACATTGATAATGTAATAGCCAAATATTTCTCCTATTTATTTGTTTATCAATATATGTCAAAATTAGTTTATTTATGAAAGCAGTTCATTAGTTTATTTATTGGCTCTAAAAGTGAACAGTTTTTAATTTTTTACGCATAAAAATGTACTGTAAATAAGGGAAGATAAACAGATTCCCTAAAACTTAGTGATTTAACCATAAAGTCTAAAGTAGGGGTGCCCACACTTTTTCATCATGCAAGCTACTTTTAAAATGATCAAGTCAAAGTGATCTACCTACTATAAGGCCGCGTTTATACAAGAACAACCTCTGGAAATGTTAGGGGTTTTTATGTTTATTGAGGGTAATAAACAAAAAAAAGAGTGTTTACACGAAAAACGCTGTAGTTTCCAAGTCAGTTAGGTTGCCAAATTAGAAATTATGAACGATAATACTGTTGCTTTAAAATAATAGTATTTTTACCTAAACTGTTATACTGTATGTGTTGAGTAAAGATATTCTAAGATGAGGTGTGTGCTGTGTTTGCTGAAAATATGCACAGAAAAGGAGGGGGTAATTAAGACATTTTAAAATTATCTGGCATCCCTGATGCGGCATTCATTGTGCATGCAGTATCTGCATGATCACAGTTATGTATAAACTGGTGAATACACCAACGTCTCTTTGAACTGGATTTTACAAATTTTGCTCCTGAAAAAGGGTGAGCAGCACCAAAAACACTGCTCTCTGTCATTCATTCTAACTGTTGTTAGTGTAGAAAAACTTTTGACTGCAGCCGCCTGTAGTGTGCATGTCCAGCTTCACACATGGAAAATCTCACGGGTTGGGGGAGGGGGTAAATATGGATCAAAATAAATATTTCCCCAAAAAATATCCACTCTGAGACCTGGTTTAAGAGAATGAGGGCTGTGATTGACTGCCCTGTATGTCAATCAAGTAACAAATTTCATAGTGAGGATGGATGATAGGCTGACATCTAATTTTTAATGCCATGCAATCTACCCATAATGCCTTTGTGATCAACCGGTAGATCGCGATCGACATATTGGGCACCCCTGGTCTAAAGTTCTTACTGGTACTACAGGTTCTTGCAGCCTATAAATGCAGAACCAAGCATAAATGTTCTCTCTAAAAGCTACATTTTCAATGAAGACAATTAAACATGCCTACACAAGGCTTTGAAAGATAATTAGTGTCTTACCAGTTTTGCTGCTACAGTAAATAGGACATTGTTCTTTTAAAATTTAGCATTTTGCTGGTGTTGTACTGAAAATAAAAATGATTTCCCTGTTGTAGGACACACATAAAAAATAAAATTCTGAATATTTCCAAATACACCAGCTATTAAACTGACTTAGTTTTCTCAGGTGTAGTTAGCAACAATTATTTTTTTTAAATTGCAAGAAAGTGGTCTAATTCATAAACTGTTTGATCCATTCATCTACCTGTAGTCAAAATGTCGCTGACCACCAATGAAAGGAACATGCTGGAACATGAAGAATTGGGATCTTTGTAATAAAATCTAGGCAGATATTCAAAATGTGAACTTTATAGTATTTTGGCTGCAAATTGACAAATACTTACATGAGGATAGAGAGGGAAGTGCAGGTTTTTTCTGAGCTGGGCTATCGAGGAACCACACCAGTCCTCAAACACATGAAGGTTGGCCTGGCCCTTATACTACCAACACACATGGAGGACATAGGTTAGTGTTCACAGAAACAACATCACATCTGCTAATAAACAGGAGATGACCTTCAGTTACAGCGCTGTGATTACAGTTGAGTTTTTAATTGTTTTAACATATATGATTTTGTATAGGGGAAATGAATAGTAGGTAACATGTATGATGGAGTTATGCTTGTCACCATCCGGACTAACAGAAGAAGGTAGCGGAGGGCTCATTAGGACTTTTGGGGAGAGGGTGAACTGAGGATGTCTGGAGCAGGTTGTCAAAGCCCTCCCTTTACCCATAGTCTGACATTTGCCTGAATTACACAGGGAAATCATGGGACATGGCAAGGACAGATGGTGAAGTCATTCTGCTTTAGGATACACTTGGTGCACATTTGCACACCACCTTCCCACATACAAAAAAGGTCTGCTCATCCACAAGAAGATTATTGTGTCAGGCCAAAAACTTTAATTTGAAATGTAAAAAAACAACCCTACACTTTACAAATGCTATCATCTTTCATGCTTTGACTTTCAGAGTCTCAACACACCTGCAAAGAAAGTTCAATCTCTGCTATCTCGTGTCAACCTTAAGAGGCAATCGAAGTTATTCAGCAACCTTTAAAATCCAGCTCTTCTTAGTGGTATGAGCAGTGCGGGCGCACGTCTGCACAATGTCCACACATATGGCATCCTGTACTGCATGTCAACAGTCTCAGCAGGTTGCCACTGTTATGCTGCCACACACATTTAGAACATCACACAGAGCTTGAACAGAAAGCTGGCTCCCTCTGAAATCACCATGGACAGACACAGTGGATCAAAGTAAATTCTGGCTTCTCTTTTTGGCCCAATTTCAATTGTTGCATGTAGCTTTTCTTTGTGTGGCGGAGCTGCTAGCTATAGAGCAAGGTGTCAGCTGTCAGCTCAGTCACTCCGGATAGTGTGTGTGACCTCCTGACACACACACATTTCATTAGTGGGACTAAAAGAGGGAAACGAGGAAGCATTTCAGGGCAAGCACCTCTTTACCTGCCATGCTACATCCGTGTCTACATTTTAAGGAGAAAGAGGCTGACAGAGGGTGTCACGCTCCTTAAGTGTCATGCATGCATCCTAACTGATGGCCTCACACAAAGTGGTCCTTCCCATTTGTTTCTTGACAGTCAAATAAGTACCGTGCCCACTGACAGCAGAGGAGCAATTACAGCACACGAATTAGACGAGATACTTTTGTTTTGAAAACATGTCATTTGAAAGCAGTGGGACTCCTGTCTCTCCTACACACACACGTGCACACACACGTATATTTGTTGTTGCTGATATATGCTCTCTGCTGGAAAGACTAATTCACATTTAAAAGAGAAAGGGACAGGGGTTTTGTGAGGTGGGCAGAATCAAATCTGTGAAAACCAGGGAGTCAGAAAGATGAACGAGAATCCCTCAAGTCTCGGCACGAAGAAAGAGGGGAGGGATTGTGAGGTTAGAAGGATTTAGCGGACAGGTCTAGCCCTTGTGTAAAATACTTTATACAAAGCCTTTAATAAGTTTCCTGTGGGTTCGAAAAGCAAATCTATTTTTGGTCAGGCCTCCTCTTCTTATCAAGCAACAATAAGTGGGCAGCTTTAAAAGTTTATAATTGTTCATATTCGCATATGCCAGTGTAGCCCCAGAGAATCTAAAGGCTGTAAATTCAGCTTTCTGCTGGAGACTAAGTGTATAATTTGTTTCGATTTGTGGAAAACAGCAAGGTAAAGGTTTTCCTTTTCTTATTTTTACCTGTCTTAAATCAAATGGCATTGCACAGAACAGGATACAAGAGTATCTGAGAAAGTCAGAAGGATTTTCTCCAAACACAACATACCAATACATTTCAAACCCAACAGGACTCTCAGACAGAGGCTGGTCCACCCTAAGGACAAAACACCCATACACAGAGTGGTGTGTGCTGTTCAGTGCAGCGAGGAATGTCCAGATCTCTATATTGGAGAAACCAAAGAGCTTCTTCACAGATGCATGGCTCAACACAGGAGAGCCAGCTCTTCAGGACAAGACTCAGCAGTTCACCTGCACTTCAAGGATAAGAGACACACATATGAGGACCAGAATGTGCACATTTCGGACCAAGAAGACAGATGGTTTGAAAGGGGGGAGAAGGAAGCAATTTATGTAAAACGAGAAAAAAACATCTTTAAACAAAGGAGGAGGTCTCAGATTTCAATGATCTAAAACTTATAATGCAGCTTTAGGCCTGATACCCAGTCATTTTCATACCTATCAGGAATTCCATTCACATCACCAGAATGGCTCCACTGTAAATCTAACTAACCTTAACGAACCCCTATTGTGAGGATTGTTAGGGCAATCTGAATATGTATCTAAGCTTTATAACTCGAACCCCCCACACTGTCTGTTCTTCGAATTGAGAAAACTCCTCGAATGAGAAGTGAAACATCTTCTGTACAAATAAAGTCCAGTAGTTTTTTTTTGTCTTGAACTTTTTTGAATTTACCATGTCCTGGATGACTGAGAATCTTCACCAGCGTATTGCACTGAATAATCTATTTCTTTACCCTCTGTGGCATCAACTCGCACACTTTCTTCCCTGACTTTGGTCCGTGCTGCTCTTGTTATTTTGTCACATTGTTTGCAGTGATTATTGCTTTTCTCGCCTCTCCCAAAGCCTTCAGTCTCACTGCCCCCTAATGTTGTCAAGTCTTCCCTCTGACCTCTCTATTTCGGCATCCATCTCTCTACCTCGGTCTGTGTGCCAAATCCTGTCACTTCCTCACCTCTCTGTCTTTAGTTTCCCCCAGCTCTGCTGTCAGCTGTCACGATAAGATGCTGTTTCTATCACATTTTTCCCCCCAACATCCTTGTTTCTCAGCTTAGGAGGAAGATTAAAGGGATTTTATTATGTGATGAATTAGCGTTTGATTATTTTTTTTGCTTGTTTGATTTTCTGATTGTCTCTATCACAATGATCAAAGTGTATTCTTTCGTTAATATTTATGGGCTGTTCAAACAAAATAAATGGTTCTCTTCGTTACTTTTATTTATTGTTCACTATTAATTATTTTACAATCAATGACACTGTCAATCTACAGACCTTGACAATCTGTGTCAGTATCAATCATTATTTGATCAGGACAAACTCGCTTTCAGTAAAGTAATTTGTCTACAACAACTGACACATTGTAAATACCACCTGTCAGTAATCTGTTAATTTACAATATTTGCACAGTGTCCTTGCATGTATACTTATGTAACTCTTTCGGTTTTTGTTCAGTTTTTCTTGACCACAGTCTTAAGCGTTCCTTTTAAGTTGCACGTGCATCTGCCAGACCTTGCAGTATCATGCAATGTTATGAAAACTGATGTTTACCTGCGATAAGCATCAGAGACAAGCGCTAGCGCCTAAGAAGACATGCACAAACACTTTTACAGTTTGACAAATGCTCAATCAAATGTTCTTAAAAGCCTTCCCCAGAACACTTTAAATAAAATATTTAAGAAAACAATAAGAACCCAAACTTTTAAAATTAAACTCACACATCAAGAGCATCAAAGCATGAACGTGGGAGTTGAAAATACTTTGATTCCACTTGGCTTTAACTTGCTGCACAAACATTTTTATACAGTTTATAACACTGGCTGCATTTCTTAACCCAGCTAAAATGACTCATAAAGTTGAGCGCTTAGTGGCACAAAAAACTAAAACCCAGAGAAAATACTAAAAGCTCGAAAAGCTTGGACTCACTCCTCTGTTCAGGGACCAGATATGTATAAATTAACACTTAAGGATGATTATAATAAATTAAGTTGCTGTATGAACATCAAAGAGCTTGCTATATTTGCTTAAAATAATCATTATATTTTTGTTGGAAAATATCAGGAAGCCTTCTTTCTAGATTATGAACACAGATTTTATACACAGCTAACAGAAATCATTGATCCAAGTTATGACTGTGAAAGGAACTTTTTTTTTTCCACTAGCAACTTGGATAAGAGTAAATTCTCAACAGGAGCATCCTTCTGTGACTATGAGCATGAAAACGTGATTTTGAAGCAAACACAGCAAAACCTGGGTCGTTTTAGTTATTAAAAATTCCACATTTACACAAAACATACACTTCAGACTGCCACTGAGGGGACATACATAAGCCATTAACACCTGTTAAAGACTGAGAGAAAGACCAGAAAAGGAAAAACAAAAGGACAAGCCAATAAAGTAAGAGGTGAGCAGCAAAGAGGCTAAATAAATAAAAAAAAACTCATTAAGAAACCCACTTGAAATGGAAAAAAGTGATTATACTACTCCACACAACTCCATTCTTGAGCATCATCACCATCCTCATCTTCAGCTCCATATTGGTGAGTTTGTTTTCACACATCTTAGTCGTCACGGCTCTCCAGCATCCCCTCTCTCTCATCCATCTGGTCTCACCGTCAACTAAAGTGCAAATCATTTTCTTTCTTTCTTTTTTTTTCTTCTTTAGCAGGATATCTCCCTCGTTCAAAATGTGCTGCCGCCTTCTGCAATCTTGCTGGCACCGAGGCATGGACAAATGGCTGCTCTGTCTTTCCACCGACGAGCTATCACACCAGCTGACACGGTTAATCCCACCTGGATAAGAAAAGGAAGACAGGATGTGCCTGGCAAAAACCACAGGGGTATATACAATGCCCCTTTGCTTCTGCAAGAAAGCCAATTTTATTTCTGTTGATACACAACAATGTTGTCCTGCATTTTAGCTGATTTGGGGTATTAAAATGTAAACATCAGACTCTGACATAGAAGCGCCCATGCAACTCTCGTTTTTCTTCCAGTTTAGTAATATAGATATAAAATGAAGGGAGATAAGTAAGTAAGTAAGTAGACAGAAGAGAAAATGGGCTTTTCGAGAGTATAAAAACAGAATGATTTTATGGTAAGAGGTAAAAGAAACTCTTTTCGCACAAAGAGAGAGGCAAAAACTAGGAGACAAGGTTCATGGGATCTATAT